GCTTTACTCAGTAAAGTATGATTCCATTTCTTTTCATATTTATTTCATATTTCAGAAATACTAGAAGCCCTGAAATGCTACATTTTAACCAGTCTGTAAAACTCATTCTGTTCCCACAAAGTTTTCATACTATAATGAGTTTTACATCAGGTCTTGGCAATGTACGTAAAACTCCTAATCTAAATAGCTAGGATACCTCCACAAAAGAAAGAAGAGAATGTGTGAGTTTAAGGGAAATAGTTCTGCCCTAGCATTATGAGGTCCAGCAAGTTCTGTAATCAGCTCTTTAAGAATCTGCTTATTTATGGCAATCAGAATAAAATAACATATTTACATAGAAAAAATATGTGTAAGACTTAACCCTGTGATCAAAGTAGTTAAGTTTAAGGCCCTAAAATGTTGTCTTTATCATAGGCAATTTTCTGAAGTATTGTCATTACTGAGCAAGATATAATTTAAATTTTAAAAAGGCATGAATATCACAGTAACAGTTGACCACATTCTTTCCTAACATATTTTGTTAACATAAACAGAAATTTGCTAGCAAATGGTTTACTGGACCTGGATTTATCACAATGTTCTCATAAATTACTGATGTATGATAAACACTTTGACTGTTGCTTTCGTTAGGTAGAGCGAAGCATGTACATGCTGTATTGCTAGCACATTGAAAGCCTGGAAATCCTTCAACACCTTCAAGCTAACAACTATGTAAAGCAGTAAGGTAAAATCATTAATAATCAGGTTCTGGATAGAGATTACACAACCATTACTGAAGCAATTCTTGTAAAAGCAGGTTTTTTCTGGATAGGACATGCTGTATAGAATAAGAATGCCACTTTCCCAAAGAAAGCAAGCAATGAGTAGTAAACTTGATTGTGCAAAAAGTAAGCAGGAGAGGTTCTGGTTTATTATTTCTGGAAAAGAAAATAAATCATCATTTTGACTAGAATCTTAAGTGTGAAGCCATAGAAAAAATAAATCAGTACATTAAAAAAACAAAACAGATTCAGCAAAGGCTTTTTAGTTCAGAGCCCATTCATAAGTAATAAGAAAAGAAGGTGTTTTGAGAGAGAAAAGAGAAGCAAGGAAAGGAGGGTGTTATTTGTTTAGCTGGCAAATGTTGGTGTGTTTCTTTGCTCAATCCTCAAAAGTCTGGTGATCTGAAAATGTCAGAAGGAATTTGATTATGAGTAATATTTGATTAAAAGATGACTCAGTTTACGTTTTATTCACATAGATAACAACCCCAGCTCCCTCAGCCTCTCCTCGTAAGACTTGTGCTCCAGACCCCTCACCAGCTTCGTTGCCCTTCTCTGGACCTGCTCCAGCACCTCAATGTCCCTCTTGTGGTGGGGGGCCCAAAACTGGACACAGTACTCGAGGTGGGGTGTCACCAGTGCCGAGTACAGGGGGATGATCACTTCTCGGGCCCTACTTGCCACACTGTTCCTGATACAGGCCAGGATGCTGTTGGCCTTCTTGGCCACCTGGGCACACTGCTGGCTCATGTTCAGCCGACAGTCGACCAACACCCCCAGGTCCTTTTCTGCCAGGCAGCTCTCCAGCCACTCTGCCCCCAGCTTGTAGCGCTGTCTGGGGTTGTTGTGACCGAAGTGCAAGACCCTGCACTTGGCCTTATTGAACCTCATCCCGTTGGTCTCAGCCCATCCATCCAGCCTGTCGAGATCCCTCTGCAGAGCCTCTCTACCCTCCAGCAGATCAACACTCCCACCCAATTTGGTGTCGTCTGCAAATTTGCTGAGGGTGCACTTGGTTAACTTGGCTGTTTTTTGTGCCCCAGTAAGACATCTGTACATACTGCTCTAGCTCCTAGCCAGAACAGGTATATGGTAATTTCTTAGAATTATTTAGGTTGGAAAAGACCTTTAAGATCATCGAGTCCAACCATAGACCTAACACTGCCAAAGCCACCACTAAACCATGTCCCTAAGCACCATACCTACACATCTTTTAAATACCTCCAGGGATGGTGACTCCACCACTTCCCTGGGCAGGATGTTTCAACGCTTCACCCTTGCTGTGAAGACATTATTTCTAGTATCCATCCTAAACTTCATGTGATGCAGCTTGAGGCTGTTCCCTCTTGTCCTATCACTTGTTACCTGGGAGAAGAGACCAAATCCCACTCCGCTACAACCTCCTTTCAGGTAGTTGTAGGGAGTGTAAAGGTCTTCCCCTCAGCCTCCTTTTCTGCAGACTCAACAGCCCCAGTTCTCTCAGTCGCTCATCACAGGACATCACGCTCTGGTTCACTCAGCTGCTCCTCATAAGACTTGTGCTCTTGAGCTTCACCAGCTTCATTGCCCTTCTCGCTCCAGCATGTCAATATCCTTCCTGTATTGAGTGGCCCCAAAATGAACACAGTATTCGATGTGCAGCCTCACCCGTGCTGAGTACAGGGAGATAATCACTGTTTCTGATAGGAGTGGGGATGCTATTGGCCTTCTTGGCCACCTGGGCATGCTGCTGGCCCAGGTTCAGCTGGCTGTTGACCAACACCCCCAGGTCCTTTTCCACCAGGCAGCTTTCCAGCAATTCTTCCCCAAGTCTGTGGCATTCATGGGGTTGTTGTGACCCAAGCATAGGACCCGGCACATGGCCTTGTGGAAACCTCATACAATTGGCTATCCCTTCTGAAAAGTTTATAGGCATGCATTGAAGCACTCCAGTTGTGTGAGTCATCACACCATGTTTCTGTGATTGCAACTCTATCATAGTTTTCCTTCTGCACAATGACTTCCAGGTCCTTTGTGGAGATACAATGCAATCTAGTTAAAGGATTTAGGATTATCTCTTCCTTTAATATTGTGACTAAAGTACTGTGCCACTGATTTTTTTTTCATTTGAAGATTTACTATCATTCAAGTTGTAAACATGGCATTTTACTTTTTCATATACGTGAACAGTTTTATTACAGTTCTTACACAATTTAGTATTACTTTTTTCACAATTTCAAACTAGGGATAGTATGAATTTTTGTTGGTTTTTTTTTCTAATTTGGGGACTTGTTTGTTATTTATTCCACTTTATAGTAGATCCATTTTATGTTTATCTTTAAAATAAATTCATAAAACACTAGTCCTCGTAACAAAATGCCAGCCTGCTGAATGATTAAGAACAAGTCTGACTTGACATTATGAGCAATATAGTGGATCTTATTTGTGACAGGTGTGGTCCTTTGATGGCTTGTGTAGGCAGAGTATATGTTTAAATGGAGTAGAAAATTATACATTTTAATTTATAGTTATTGCCATTATTGTAATTACTATTTATTGCCATGACTCAGATATTCATTTATGATAGTATTAAACATACAAGATGATGCCTGAGAAAATGTATGAGGTGAAGATTGAAAACGTAGTTTCTCATTTGGAATCTTTTTTTCTTTCTTAGTTTAGCATTTGACTTTTAACAGGTTTTATTTATGGCAGCTCTTCAGTTAATATAACTTAGGAGGAATTCTCACTGTGCCATCCACAGCTGGAAACTGAGTATCCACTTACTTTTATTGTCCCCACAAAAGTATGGTGTAGTCTATGATTTAACTGAGGGACAATCTCTGTAAATCAGTACAGTTTAAACTAGCAGATGTAGCCTGTATTTGTTGCTGCCTAAACTGTGCAGCTTTGCTGGTATTAATGTTGCCCAGCCACCTATTCTTTACTTTTACTTTAATGTGCTTTTTATGGTTTCAGCAAAATTCTTTGTCCTTTCTGCTAGGTACAGTGAATGCCAGATTTTTCGTAACTTGGGCATGTCTTCTGAATATTTGATATTAAATTGGCTCACAGCATTGAAAGTGGATCTGGTGTTACAGTCTTTTATAGCAATATTCTATAATTTGGCATTAATCTGGAAGATGTTTTCTTATAAGTAATTAAACTATAAGATAAATTACTAGTCTAGTGCTCTCCTGTCCTTTCTTGTGTATTACCTGTTTCTCACTTTGATTGCAGATCACTCAGTCTGCAAGAGGATTTTTTAATTACTTAACGTATGACTTGTACTTTTGATGTTAAATTGATTATTGCACATACCTTAATTTTCTGATTTTTGAATGCTTTTAGATTAAGTGCTAAATTAAATGTTATTATAAATGGACTTGATTTTGTATATTTTTTGTATGGGTTTGTTTTTACTTTTCTATGATGAAAAGTATATGAATTGTCTGGTTTCTACAATAATATGGGCTTTTTTGCACACATAACTTTAAATTTTGGAAGCAGGTGATATGATTGTAAAAACAAATGTGTATTTGCATTGTGCTGAGGTGTTTTTAAATGTTGATAGAACACGTATATGAATTTTTTCTTATATTTCATAATAAAGTTTAGTAAATATATCTATTTTGTATGTCTGTGTATGGAAACATACATAACTCATGCATATACGTATGTAATATTACTCCTTCCATATGAAGCTATCTTTTTATAATCTGTACCCAAGAGTTGTTAGAAAATATTTGTCATTACTGCCTTATTTAATGACTTTTGCTTAGCGTATAAGAAAGACATACTTCAAAAAATGCACTTTAAAAATACAATTGGATTGATATGATGCAACTTGCAATAATTTTTTTTTGCCCTGGGAGAAAATCTTTATCTTCTCTTCAACAGTAGTCATTATCAAAAGAGGGAAGAACTGTAATATTGGCAAGAGAAAACTCATTTCGAACTGGCATAAAACTTTCTTTACTTTCCAACATTGTTTTTTAAGTAATATTTATTTTGATATTAGGAAAGAAATAATGTCTCCTACTGTCTTTTAAATATTTTAACATAAGTTAATAAGCTGGTATGATAAATTACTTGCTACTGTGTAATTTAACTGTGTATGAGGAACAGTAACCTGCTTGAAGAGGTCATGTCAACTTTATAATAATGGATGCTGTCTGGTGATTTGTTTTTTTGTTTTTTTTGTTTTTTTTTTTCTGAAGACAGGTAGATGATTTTGAAATCAATGGAAACCTTGCTGCAGAGAGAGCAATAAAAATGAGCCTTTTCTAAATTCACAAGGAATAGTATGCCTGTAAGACTATTGAGTTACCCTCCTATGAGCCTGAAAGACAGAATCAGTACTTCTTACAAAGTAAGCAAAGTGTTTATTTCCTGCTCTCCATGTTCACCCACCCCCTCCCCAATCATTGGAAGTAATATTCCTGTTAAATTTACAAAGACATGCAGTCCCAGAAAGTAAAGATAAATAATTTGGTACAGAAATATGTCAATAAAAGGAATTCATATTGGCTCACTTCACTCTTTATCCATATGAGCAAACAAGATGGTGATGTTGATACTCTAGGTCAGCTCTATATGGCTTTGGGTGGTCTTTTCTTTATAGAGCGCTTGGTGGCCTGTTTTGAGAGTTAAGTGCAAATTCCGGTCAGGATTAAGACTGGCTTTTTTATGATTGATACATATAGACAGCATCAATAGCCAGGTCTGAGTGTGTGAATATAGAACAGTAAAAGGAGTTTTGCTGGTGTACTTCAAACCGTTCACTCTGTGTGATGAGTCAGAATTTGTTCTTGGAATCAGCTGAGACTCAGTGAGCTGAATGAGTTTTCTTTGCAATAGTGGAGTCAAAACCAAATTTGAAAATAGGAAAGCATCATGATGACGATCTTGATCCCTGAAATATGTGATCTGGATTTTAAAGAGATGTATTAAAATATGGGTACACTATGTCTTGAGCAACTGCCTCTGGAGACTTAGAAAGCATTGTGGAGTATCATCTAGGTGATGAACTGAATATACCAAGAAAGAGTTACTTTATAGACAATGAAAGCCTGAATAGGTGTGTGTAGAACCAACAATGCCTTTGGTATATATGATGCACATTCTGTGTAATGCATATAGTTTACTTTGTGTAACCATAGCTTTTTTCCTAAATTCAACTCCTTCCTTTTGGCTTTTGTAAGCCACTTCTTTTTTGTCTTTTTTAACCCTACTTGGTGTAACAATGGAACCCAAAAGGGAACATTACGCAATTGTATTATTTAACTAATCCTCTCCAGCAATTTTAGTACAAAATATTGATATGGTAATCATATCAGTAGTGATCTGTAGATAATGCCAATTGCTCTTCAGATATTAATTGGGTTAAAGCTTTGTGGCAGCTAATATTAGAACTGATTCATATTAGTTTAAATCCTTAATTGCATTTAATTATAGGTTTGCTTATGAAACAGCTGTACCTTTTCCATCAGCTCTGTCAGTCTTCCACTTGAAAGGATTAAGCTTCTCTGCATCTCTACAAAGTATTTTTCAGCTTAGCTTGTCTTGGCTGTGTTTTATATCTTACCTTGCAGCTGGCTTAATTTTTCCAGAGCTCTTTGTTGATCTAGCGCAGCTTTTCGTCTAACCACATCAATTACATTACTCTTTTCATTACTTTTTGCAGTAACCCATTTGGCTTGTCTGTCTTGGCTCAAGATGCTGAAAATGAATTGTAACGTCTAAAACAAAACAACACACATAATTTGCAAGCAACATTCTTAAAAACATTATGAGTTAAATGAAGTTGAGTACAATTGAAACTTCTCTAACCAGTTGCTGATAGATACAATCTGGACAATATTTTGCAAGAATATTTATTGAGACTATTCAACATCAACTTTTGAGAGCTTAGGAAATTTACTATAAATATGGGCCCAAGCAGAGGGAGCTAAAAGGGAAGCTTGAGTGAGAAAACAAGATTTTAATGGAATTTTATGATAATGTTCTCCTTTATTGTGAAAAAGTTACTAGGGACCAAACTGCAAGTCAGTAGAATTGCTTAAACTTTTGTTGTTGTTGGGCACAAACATAGATAAGTTGTTCACCTACCAAATTAGCCAACAGGTTGTTTGAAAGCCGATATCATAAATATGAAAAGCAGAATTGGTATGAAGTATGGTTGAGTGGATATGCTTCATATCTCTGTATCGTTTAGCCAGAGGACTGATGATACTGTGGTATAGTTGAAAAAAGCCACATTGGCCAATGGATATTGAGATGCAGCAAGGGTTTTCTGCACTAGCCAGAATAACCAAAAGTTTTCCCCATGTAATTAGAAAATCTTTGATTATTTGTTGTCCATTGAATTCTGGGTTGCTTAAGCTTGTACTGTCTTTGAGTTAGGAATGAGAAAAGCTGTTCACCTTTGTCTTTGTTAATAGTATGATTTGCCCTCATAATTATTGCACAATAGAAAAACCAAATAGTGCGAGTTTGTGGGTGAACTGTACAGCAGGTATTACCATCATTGGCTGACAGCTGCCAGAATTACATAGCTTAACTAGCATGATCAGTCTTGAAGCAGATTGAGTCAAAATTTTCTTTCCCAGGGGAACAGAACCCCAAGAGGTGTTCTAGCCAGTTGATATGACAAATTATAAAATACTTTTTGCGGCAAACAGGAATGGCAAGTGCACTGTTTTGTATCTTTCACAGAGAAGGGATCTGGGGAACAGGTTGTTACTTTCTTTCTTCTTCTTTGGGATTTTCCATTATTATATCCTTTTCTGTTAACGTTTCCCATCCCACCAAGATAGTGCTAATTCCAGTAAAATAATCCCCATGACAGGGAAGCCACCTCTTTGCACGCTTCTGGAAGCACAGTTTGGTTGACCTGGACATTGCAGTACAATGTATGTATTGCACAAACTGAAGTTAGTGTAGTAAGACAGAAGGTGTTCTGCCCCTCCATATTTAAAAAGTGAAAGTTAACAGTGCAGCATTTCTGCCTGGGGAAAAAAAAAAAAAAGGTTCCATGCAATGGGAGGGGAGATGATTTTATAGTCAGGAACAGAGTGAATGAGGAGGGTAGGATTGGGAGCCATGCAGGGGACAGGGAGCAACAAGGAAGCCAGAGAATAATAGACAGTCACTTGGTTTGAGAGATTTGTAGCACTGATAGAAGTTGGAAGGATGAAGAAGCAAGGGTGTGCTAGACAGAGTGAAAGGATGTAAACAACAACAAATGGGGAAGAAGAACACAGGAAAGGGGGTAAGAAACATATTTGTGTTGGCTGTGGAGGTTGAAGTAGAACAGATTAGACAAAGTGACCATGAAAATAATGTATTTCCTCATGATGCCTATTGTGATTAACTTATGGGAGTAATAAGATGTTCTTTTTCCTAGGTAACTTTAAAATTTAATTTTTTCCTCATGTTTAGAATACTGTAGTTTCTTATTACATTATATACATTATCCCTGTGTGTCTTGCCTTTAGGCCTACCCAACATTTTGTAGATGAGATGATTACTAACCAGTTGTAAATATTTTTATCCCTCTGCTTAGGGAGGGGTGATCTGTTCTATCTAATAATATACAGAAGACTGAAGTAGGAAATGCACTGTTGGAAGGTACATTAGCTCCAGTCTTTCTGATCCTATCACTACTGGAATTTTCCAGACAGTAACAACAGCGAGATTGCAAAAAATCCAGTTGCTAGACACTCAGCAAAATAAAAAAAAAAAAAACAAAACTGTTTTTGTTATTTAAAAAAAATAATCATATGGGCTTGTATTTTTCATTAGGAGGTCTTTTATATCATCTAGGATCATTGAACTGTGACTGTAATTTGTTAATGAAAACTTTGAAATTTTTGAAAATCTGAAAGGGAAATAACATAGAAATTATGAATGTAGAAGGCAATAATAATAAAAGATAAATATTCAAAAAACTAGGTAAAAAGTTGTTGGTTGTTGGTTTGTGTATGGAAGTGAATGACCACTGAGTTGCATCAGCAGCCACTGCATGTTGAAAAGCTGGACAGTATGAAGTGGTGCTCTGTTAATATGCTTGTTCACCAGAATCTAAGAATTATGGAAAATAAACAGGCTTTAATCTAAAATAGGTATTTTAATGTATTTTTCATTCTTGGTGATCTATCTTATTTCCAGTTTTAACTAATGTAAAAGGTTCTGACCAGCTAACTCATATTCAGCAGTTATCAAATAGTTATCAAGGTACTGGCTATTTTTGCTTAACATTTCTATAATTACAAAAGAAAAAAATCACATCTGGATGATGGGATAAAATGTACCCTGACAAAGTTTGCTTCTGACAAACTGAGTGGGGAAGCAGACACTTCAGAAGAGAGGGACATGCTGCAGTAAGATGGATAGGCTGGAAGAATGGGCTAACAAGAACCTTATGAAGCTCAGCAAGGACCGGTGTAGGATCTTGCGCCTGGGAAAATATAATCCAGGAGTGCAGCACAGGCTAGGATATACCTGGCTGGGGAGCAGCTCTGTGGAAAGGGACCTGGGGCTCCTGGTATGAGTGAACAGCATGCTGCTGCTGCTGGCAAAGCAAGCCAACAGGATGCTGGGTTGCATCAAGAAGGATGTCACCAGCACTCTACTGAGCGCTTTTCAGGCCAAACATGGAATACTGTCTTCAATTTTGGTCCCTGTTATACAAAAAAGATGTGGACAGGCTGGAGAGGCTCCAGAGAAGGGCCACCAAAATGATCAGAGGACTGAGAAGCCTGCACTAAGAGAAAAGTCTGAGGGAATTGGGTTTGTTCAGCCTTGAGAAAAAAGGCTTAAGGGAGACCTTATCACCATGTTCCAGTATTTAAAGGGTGCTACAGAGAAGATGGAGTCTTCCTTTTTACAAATAGTCATAGGGAAAAGAGAAGACAGGCTTTAATCTAAAATAGGTATTTTAATGTATTTTTCATTCTTGGTGATCTATCTTATTTCCAGTTTTAACTAATGTAAAAGGTTCTGACCAGCTAACTCATATTCAGCAGTTATCAAATAGTTATCAAGGTACTGGCTATTTTTGCTTAACATTTCTATAATTACAAAAGAAAAAAATCACATCTGGATGATGGGATAAAATGTACCCTGACAAAGTTTGCTTCTGACAAACTGAGTGGGGAAGCAGACACTTCAGAAGAGAGGGACATGCTGCAGTAAGATGGATAGGCTGGAAGAATGGGCTAACAAGAACCTTATGAAGCTCAGCAAGGACCGGTGTAGGATCTTGCGCCTGGGAAAATATAATCCAGGAGTGCAGCACAGGCTAGGATATACCTGGCTGGGGAGCAGCTCTGTGGAAAGGGACCTGGGGCTCCTGGTATGAGTGAACAGCATGCTGCTGCTGCTGGCAAAGCAAGCCAACAGGATGCTGGGTTGCATCAAGAAGGATGTCACCAGCACTCTACTGAGCGCTTTTCAGGCCAAACATGGAATACTGTCTTCAATTTTGGTCCCTGTTATACAAAAAAGATGTGGACAGGCTGGAGAGGCTCCAGAGAAGGGCCACCAAAATGATCAGAGGACTGAGAAGCCTGCACTAAGAGAAAAGTCTGAGGGAATTGGGTTTGTTCAGCCTTGAGAAAAAAGGCTTAAGGGAGACCTTATCACCATGTTCCAGTATTTAAAGGGTGCTACAGAGAAGATGGAGTCTTCCTTTTTACAAATAGTCATAGGGAAAAGAGAAGGGTAATGGTTACAAGTTACTCCAGGGGAGATTCCAATTGGATAAAAGAGGAAAAAATTTCCCAATAAGCATAATAAACCATTGGCATAATAAGGGAATTGGGTTTGTTCAGCCTTGAGAAAAAAGGCTTAAGGGAGACCTTATCACCATGTTCCAGTATTTAAAGGGTGCTACAGAGAAGATGGAGTCTTCCTTTTTACAAATAGTCATAGGGAAAAGAGAAGGGTAATGGTTACAAGTTACTCCAGGGGAGATTCCAATTGGATAAAAGAGGAAAAAATTTCCCAATAAGCATAATAAACCATTGGCATAATATCTCCAGGGAAGTGGTGGATTCCCCAACATTGGACAGTTTTAAGATTCAGCTTGGACAAGGTGCTGAGCCATTTTGCCTAGACCATGCTTTTGCTAAGAAAGGCTGAAACAAGTGGTCCTTGAGGTCCCTTCAAACCTTGTTCTATGATTCCATGATTCTATGATATTCTGAATAATGAAACATATTCTTTTCTTTCTTTCTCTCAGTATTGCTCATTTTGGCAGACTTTGTCCTCAAATTTGTTATGGCTAATGATTCTTTGAGTGTGTTCAGGTAATAATACACAGTCCAGTAAAGGGTTGATACATATGACCTTTATTCCTGGTCTTTCCAAACGTTAGAAACCACTTAACTCATAACCTCAAGATAACCTATTTGTATTTTAAGTTAACACCACTGAAATTGCTATAAGAATAAATTTTCTGGCATGGAAAATTTTATTGTGGTTTAACGGCATGATTAATTCTGAAAGAGAAAAAAGATACAAGATATTTATTACTATTGAAATTTTCTCATTTCTTAATAGGAAATTGTAATAGATTTGCTGCATTGCATTGAAATGTGTTCATTGTATAAAGAATATGTTGTTTTAAATCAGTTGAATTATTCTAAAATAGTAATGTTTTCTAAACATTTCCATCCAAACCGGAGATAATCACTTCATCTGTCACACTTTAGAGACTATGTAAGACTTCTTGTTATTTCTACATTTGCATCAAGAAGGATGCTGAAGTTTCACAAATTTTACAAGGCATATCCCATTCCCGAAGAGTTTGAATATCTGCTCGCACTGTTTTTAGATTTACTTTACTGAGAGAAAGGTGAGGTCAAAAGATATCCGCAGATATTTGTGTTTCCTTGTATGATGTGGTGGCCACATCTTAAAACTTAGTTCTTCTAACGAAAAGGGGCAAATTATGCAGTGTCTTTAAAACTTTGCAATCCAAAAAATATTTTCATGTAGGAAACATATAAACAACGAAAATAGAGATAAGCAGATACTTGAACATGAGTTACTACTGTAAGACAATTAAGATTAGTGGAAATTAGTTTCATGTCTCAACATTGCTGCTGTAATGAAGGATAATTATGATACAGAAATTGAAATTGGAGCTGCAGTGATTGAAAGCTTATACAACAGATACATGGGGATGCTGGCAATTTGAGTTTTTCGTTTTGCTATTAGACTTCTGGTAATTACCTGAACACACTTGACAAGGCATCATAAAGTAAGACAAAAAGAAAAATCTATGACCATCATATTTAAAAATACATTCTGTAATACTGAAAGCTACATCCATTTAGGAAATGGAAAATTTCCTGTCTGATTTTACTGCCTGTATTACTGCTCCCTTTTTAACCTGTGCTTAACTCTCAGATACTGGAGGCTGAAAGAATCCATAGCATTTTTGAAACAAGAAGTGTGAAGTCCTTCTCCTGCCCAAGCTGCTGACTATATGACACGATGTAAGACATTTTACAATTTTATATCTATTTTTTAACTTGGTGAATGATGAAAATAGACTGTTTTCCAATCATTATGAAAATTTAAATTTTATTTTACAATTGAAGTTAATTTAGCATAGAATTTAAAAAAAAAATACAAAAGGAAACATTACTTCATTACTTTTCCAGCTAAAAGTGTTAATTAGATTTGTAATACTTTCACAATTAATGTAAGACTGCTTATTGTTACTTACTCTTTTTACACTGTAACTTAATGTGTTTACAATGTTATGAGCATTTAATATACCTGTTAAACAAGTATATCATGTTATTTGCTGCAGTTTTATCATCTTGTTATGTGCTTGATTGTGTTTTAAATAATTTAATTCTTTTGGAGCTGTTGAATTATGATTTCAGTGTTTAAGTCCCAATTATCTGGAAAGCATTCTATTTGCTAGTGGATCTAGCAAAAGAAGTGATCTCACAGAAAAGAAAGCAACAAGTACTGAGATATAAGATAGAGGGAATATAAGGAAATACCAAACAGAGAAGTCTTAGGAGACAAGAAACATTTAATTCTCTATGTCAATCAGAAATGACTGTCAAGTTTCAGTTCTGTGTCCATGTTAACCCAGTATTAGCAGAGAATCTGCCTTGCAAGTAGATTATATATGATCTGTTACAATCTGATGAATTTACATTCAGAGTAACTTGATGAAATAGGTAATAGAATTTTCAGGGAAATTTCTTGGCGAGCTAGATGGTAGAGTTCACTCTGCGGTAGAGAGGATGTAATTAAATTGTTTAAAGACAAAATGAGGGGAATGAATTGGGAGCTCTAATAGCTCTAATAGCTCTAATGACTCCTTCGGTTAGCTGGCAAGACGAGTATTACCACCACATGTGCTAGGAAAGCCATTCACTTGAGGTCCAGACTGTAATAACAGAGCAACTGTGATCAGCATGTTATTTTATTTGCAACTTAGTTTTTAGCATTGTTTTCCATACATTAAAATTAGTATAAATATATTTTAACGTCATTTATATCGTCGTTCTTACATGACTATTATTGTAAGAATTTAGGGATTTGGGGTTCTTCTAGAATGGGTGTAAACATGAACCATAAGAATCTTGTTGTTAAACATGAACTTACCCTGAATATGCTTGTATTCTTTTCTGTTAAGTATATATATGTAGTTGGGTTTTTTTTCTGGCATGGATGTAAAATACATGATGGAAACACAACTGTGTTTCCAGTTGTCATCTGTTTCAGAATTTCTAATAATTAACTCTGGGGCTTTCCTGTAGGTGCATTTTTGTGACTTACTATATATTACTTACTGTACTATCTTAGTATCTTAGAAAATTGATACTGTCTTTCGTACTGCATTCTTCTAAAGTCCCCAATTTTCTTTATTAGTTAATTATTTAATATGTAGTCTGTAGGAAAGTAAGTCAGATTGTACATTTTATGTTTTCTTTTGAAAGCAATAGAATTTATAGGTTTTCTCACTTCCCAGAGATTGACAAACATGGGCCAGAAAGATGGAGAATGCTTTTGATTGTTACCTGGGAGAAGAGACCAACTCCCACCCCGCTACAACCTCCTTTCAGGTAGTTGTAGGGAGTGTAAAGGTCTTCCCCTCAGCCTCCTTTTCTGCACACTTGACAGCCCCAGTTCTCTCAGTCGCTCATCACAGGACCTCACCAGCTTCATTGCCCTTCTCACTCCAGCACCTCAGTGTCCTTCCTGTATTGAGTGGCCCCAAACTGAACACAGTATTCGATGTGTGGCCTCACCCGTGCTGAGTACAGGGAGATAATCACTGTTTCTGATAGGAGTGGGGATGCTATTGGCCTTCTTGACCACCTGGGCATGCTGCTGGTCCAGGTTCAGCACCCCCAGGTCCTTTTCCACCAGGCAGCTTTCCAGCCACACCTCCCCAAGTCTATAGTGCTGCAGGAGGTGGTTGTGACCCAAGTGCAAAACTTACTGAGGGTGCACTTGATCCCCTCATCCAGGTCGTTGATAAAGATATTAAACAGAACTGGTCCCAGTACCAAGCCCTGGGGAACACCACTTGTGACTGGCAGCTGACTGGATGTAACTCCATTCACTACAACTCTTTGGGCCCAGCCATCCAGCCAGTGTTTTACCCAGCAAAGCGTGCACCCATCCAAGCCATGAGCAACCAGTTTCTCCAAGAGAATGCTGTGGGAAACAGTGTCAAAAGTGTTATTAAACCTTCTTGGCCACCTGGGCACTCTGCTGGCTCCTACTCAGCCGGCTGCTGATCAACACCCCCAGGTCCTTTTCCACCAGGCAGCTTTCCAGCCACACCTCCCCAAGTCTATAGTGCTGCAGGAGGTGGTTGTGACCCAAGTGCAAAACTTACTGAGGGTGCACTTGATCCCCTCATCCAGGTCGTTGATAAAGATATTAAACAGAACTGGTCCCAGTACCAAGCCCTGGGGAACACCACTTGTGACTGGCAGCTGACTGGATGTAACTCCATTCACTACAACTCTTTGGGCCCAGCCATCCAGCCAGTGTTTTACCCAGCAAAGCGTGCACCCATCCAAGCCATGAGCAACCAGTTTCTCCAAGAGAATGCTGTGGGAAACAGTGTCAAAAGTGTTATTAAATTCCATGTAAACAACATCCAAAGCTTTTCCCTCATCCACCAAGTGGGTCATCTTATCACAGAAGCAGATCAGGTTAGTCAAGCAGGACCTGCCTTTTATAAACCCATACTGACTGGGCCAGATCACCTGGTTGTCCTGTATCTGCTGTGTGATAGCACTAACAATGATCTGTTCCATAACATTCCCCAGCACCGAGGTTAAACTGACAGGCCTGTAGTTCCCTGGATCATCCTTCCAGCCCTTCCTGTAGATGGGTGTCACATTTGCTAGCCTCCAGTCAACTCAGACCTCCATGATTAGCCAGGACTGCTGATAAATGATGGAAAGGGGCTTGATTAGCACTTCTGCCAGCTCCCTCAGTACCCTTGGGGGGATTCCATCCGGCCCCATAGACTTGTGTGTGTCGAAGTGGTGTAGCAGGTCACCTACCATTTCCCCTTGAAATATGAGGGCCTTATTCTCCTCCCTGTCCCTGTCATCCAGCTTAGGGGGCTGGGTACTCAGGGAACAAGTGATCGTACTACTAAAGGCTGAGGCAAGAAGGCATTAAGTACCCTAGCCTTTTCCTCATCTTTGGTCACTATGTGTTTCTCCGCATCCAATAAAGGATGGAGATTCTCCTTTTTTGGCTAATGTATTTATAGAAACATTTTTTATTGTCCCTAACAGCAGAAGCCAGATAAAGTTATAGCTGGGCTTTGGCCCTTCTAATTTTCTCCCTACGTAGCCTCACCACGTCTTTGTAATCCTCCTGAGTTGCCTGTGCTTTCTTCCAAAGACCGTAAACTCTCCTTTTTTAGCCTAAGTTGCAACCATAGTTCTGTTTTCAGCCAGGCTGGCCTTCTTCCCCAGTGACTCATTTTTCAGCATATGGGGATAACCTGCTCCTGTACCTTTAAGACTTCCTTCTTGAAGAACTTCCAACCTTCCTGGACTCCTTTGCTCTTCAGAACTGCCTCCCAAGGGACTCTGTCAAACACATCCCTTAGGAAATCCAAGGTAGCAGTTCTGTTAACCCCTTCCTTGCTTTTCCAAAAATTGAAAATCTGTCATGTCATGATCACTATGCCCAATATGGCCTCGGACTGTTACATCACCCGCAAGTCCTTCTCTGTTTGCAAACAACAGGTCGAGCTGGTTGCATTCTCCAGTTGGCTCGCTCACCACCTGTCAGGAAGTTTTCCTTAGCACACTCCAGGAACCTCCTAGACTTCCCTTTCAGCTGTGTTATATCTCCATCAGACATCTGGTAAGCTGAAGTCCCCCACAAGAACAAGGCCTAGGAATTGTGAGACTTCTCCCATCTGCCTGTAGAATATGTTATCTGCCTCTTCATCCTGGCTGGGTGGTCCATAACAGATTCCAACCATGGTATCTGCCTTGTTGGCCTTACCCATGGTTCTTACCTGTACACACTCAATCCTGTTGCCACCATTTTTAAGTTCTAGACATTTAGAACACTTCTCCAGGCTGAACACCCCCAGCTCCCTCAGCCGCTCCTCACAAGACTTGTGCTCCAGACCCCTCACCAGCTCCACTGCCCTTCTCTGGACCCACTCCAGCCCCTCAATGTCTTTCCTGTAGTGAGCAGCCCAAAACCAGACACAGTATTTGAGGTGGGGCCTCACCAGTGCCAGGTACAGGGGGACCATCACTGCCTTAGGCCTACTGGGCACACCACTCCTGATACAGGCCAGGATGCTGTTGGCCTTCTTGGCCACCTGGGCACTCTGCTGGCTCCTACTCAGCCGGCTGCTGATCAACACCCCCAGGTCCTTTTCCACCAGGCAGCTTTCCAGCCACACCTCCCCAAGTCTATAGTGCTGCAGGAGGTGGTTGTGACCCAAGTGCAAAACTTACTGAGGGTGCACTTGATCCCCTCATCCAGGTCGTTGATAAAGATATTAAACAGAACTGGTCCCAGTACCAAGCCCTGGGGAACACCACTTGTGACTGGCAGCTGACTGGATGTAACTCCATTCACTACAACTCTTTGGGCCCAGCCATCCAGCCAGTGTTTTACCCAGCAAAGCGTGCACCCATCCAAGCCATGAGCAACCAGTTTCTCCAAGAGAATGCTGTGGGAAACAGTGTCAAAAGTGTTATTAAAGTCCATGTAAACAACATCCAAAGCTTTTCCCTCATCCACCAAGTGGGTCATCTTATCACAGAAGCAGATCAGGTTAGTCAAGCAGGACCTGCCTTTTATAAACCCATACTGACTGGGCCAGATCACCTGGTTGTCCTGTATCTGCTGTGTGATAGCACTAACAATGATCTGTTCCATAACATTCCCCAGCACCGAGGTTAAACTGACAGGCCTGTAGTTCCCTGGATCATCCTTCCAGCCCTTCCTGTAGATGGGTGTCACATTT